TGGTGTTTTTATAAAAAGTGAACTTAAAAGTATAAGGATTATGTTGTATGGAGTCTATTAAAACAATCCGATATGATATAATTTTTTTTTCTCACTTAATTTATTTTATATCATTTATAAGAGTTCATTATCACTTAATAGTCAGTGTAATATTTAATGTTGGAAAAAACAAATTTGAAATTCAAATTCCTTCATAAGTTATACTAGTTTTACTAGTATTACCAAATCTCGTTATTAGTGCTACTTTTTATACTAGTTTTACCCATTTGCCATAGAAAAAAACATAGTATTACATCAGAAAAAAAACTAGTGTTACATAGTTGTCCAAGTCGAAATTGTTTTACAAATCATAAAGTGCAGATAAAATCAAATACTATGATTGCCAAATAACAACCACAAACAAAACAAAACATAACCTCCACTCTCCACAGTTGCTCTTCCTCTGATCCCAACAGCACATCATTGTACCTCATTTGCAATTTAACATTACTTTCATCTAATCCAAGCTTCGTGCATATCCTACCTTCTAACATGGAGAGAGTTATTTTCTCCCTGATGTATTCATCATCAAGCTATACATGCGACCTTTGCATTTAAAATATATGATCACGTTCTCCATCATTGTATCCTGCAAAAACAATACAAAAACTCTGTCAGTTATACTAGTTGTACTAGTTGTACTACAATTCTGGGTAATACTAGTATAACTAGTCAGACTACATGTAAATGGGTAATACTAGTGTAACTAGTCATACTACATACATCTGGGTAATACTAGTATAACCAGTAATACTACGTATATATTTTTCAATAGATTCAGGTACAATTCTACCCAGTTATACCAGTTGTACTTTCGCGACAAAAACTCAAATCGAATGGTTTCGGGTTCAAAACTACAATTCACTATGATTCAGTTGCTGTAATCCATTTCTTACCCATTTACAGACCTATTCGACCCAGAAACTATGCATAAACTTCCAATGTGCATACCTAAACACAATAACCCAAATCTAATTGAATTGAATCTCCTACATTTCTAAATCCAAAACTTCAATTTGAAGCTCTATGCAGCTCGAACAACATACTTTTTCTCTCTATCTCGACGCAGCTCGCCGGAGGAGAGGATACGGCTGCAATGGCGACTGAAATCGAATTTTTCGGCGAGGAGAGCTCGAGCTCGAGCTGAGAGGAGCGTTCTCACGTTTTTTTTTTCCTGTTTTTGATTTTTTTTTCCATTTCAGAAAATAATTAATTAAAATGAATAAAAGAGAAAGGGCAAAATCGTCAAGTCACATTTCATTAATTGAGAAGGGGATATGTAGACAAAAAAGGGATATAAGCTAAGCTGCATGGAATCGGAAGCGGGTACGCGGAAGCGGAAGCGTTTGGAAGCGCTGAAGCGAAATTTTTAAAAAAATTAGGAAGCGGGTACGTGTTGGAAGCGTGTATATATTATATAATATATATATATATATATATTATATATATATATATATATATGTATCGTAAATACCAAACATAAAATCATATTAGAAAATATTAGATTACAATCATGATAGAAAATAATATTAGAATAAATTAGTTGAAAACTAAATTTAAAAACCTTAAAATTAGACATAAATAGCAAAGAAGAAATTCTATGGGGTTTTATAAAATTAGGCTTATATAAGTATATAACGTTACAATCGACAACAATATTAAGTCTTGTTGTAGTGTTGTGGCATGGACAGTTTTAATATTCTCTCTGGTCGAGTGTTCGAGCCTTGGCAACTTCCAAAATTATTATTTTTACTTAAAAGAAGAAGGGTATATGTGTAATTTCCTTGAGGAGTCATCTTCTTCCTCTAGAAGCCCTAATTGCCGTCTTTCTTCTGTATTTTTTTCCTTTTTTTTTTAATATTGGTAAGGCAAGCAAAGCTTCCAATCTATCCCCGACGCTTCCCACTCAGAATCTTACGCTTCCACCACGATTCCAAAAGACTCATTTAGGGAATTGCGATTCCAAGCCGATTCCGAACGATTCCGAGCGATTCCGCTCCCGTTTCCGATTCCGGAGCGGGAATCGACACTTCTCCGGCGATTCCGTGCAACGTAGGATATAAGAGGTTAGAGTTATACAAAAGGGGACTCCCCAGACATTTTCTCTTGAAAAACTGTCAATATAGAGTTACCATGAACGAAAAGAATTTGATGTTTCATGGTATATTTGTAATAAAATACTATTATTATGTTTAATTATATCGACATTCATTAGGAAAAATAGGAGATCTAGCATGATCAGAACATTAGTCATAGTTCATATATTTCTCTCTAACATCCTTGTAGACCTTCTGTTCGTAGACGCTTAGGCAATTATACTTCATGGTGTTCCACCGATACATTGATGAACCACAAGCTTTGGAATTGTTACTTAGATCATCCACGTGGCAACCGGAATCGGAAAAAACCTTGGAAATGAGCCTTAAAAGGAGCGTAGACCCAATTAATCTTGGTTTTACCACCATCTGTTGCCCAATTTTCTCCGTTCCACAAACTACTCACCACTTGCATAGGCTTCGATGGATAGCTCAAGCCATCGCTTGTGTTGTTATTGAAAACTCTTATGGGGATATTGTCCACGTAAAACCTAATAACAAAGCTTGTCTTAATAAATATAAATCAACACTATTAATAATCTATATATAGAGTGTGGAATTCATTGTCTTTTTTTTTGTTTCTTAAATATGGATTATATAATGTTGATTTTATAATCGTATATACAATAGTCTAAGGAAATCAATCCATGATTGACACTCACATCATCATAAATATATACATAGATATGTTTATCAAAAATAACAAAATAAACGAGTTCCGTTCATCTTTTTTTTTAGTGTTTCAAATACGTTTATATGCATGTTAGATCTTTCACTAACCATAAAACTTATTCATCTCTTATCTTCTATGATTCAAAAAATCTCTCAAAGTTTTAGTTGTAATATATATTCTACACCGTACCTATTTTGAAAAGTCTTTAAAACAGAAAAAATGGCTATTTTAACGAGAATAATTCAATATTAACACAAATAACAAGAAAAATAAAAGCAAATAAGTTTAAAAGTACGTCAAAAAAATCGCGCATAACGGGATTACTCATTTAGTATATTCATAGAGAGGAAAAAGTACGTACACGATATGATATGGATTCCAAAGAATGCCATAAGTGTGGAAGTCAGTAGTTGGATCGAACCAAAGAGAAAACCTTTGTTCTCTATTTCCTCTGCCTTCAGTATACACATTTGTCTGTAATGTTATTGGTTTGCCTTCTATGTTTCCCAAGAACTCAAAGTCAACCTCATCTTGGGTGTCTCCTTTAGAAGTCAACTATAACCAATTCACAAATATTACATACATAAAAAAGTTTCACCAATGTTGAGAATCCAAATTCATGTAAAATGACTATAGAGAAAGAATACGAACGTAAAAGGCAGTGACTACACCAGCAGAAGAGTTGTTTCCAAACACTTTGATTCTCATTTGGAAAAATCCTGATCCGTAGTGGTTTTTAGACTCAAAGCCAGAACCTGTACGTGTTATAAAATCAATACACGCAACGATTCGAGGAAAAAACATCGTAAATTGTATCTTAAAAGGGAAATAAAAGAACCTGAAGAATAATCCATGGAGAGCTGAACTTCTTTGCCTTGGTTAAGTTTCAAGACATGATCTTGTCCCCATGTAACCACATAGTTCTCATCAAAACCAGCTTCTTGGTTTATGTCAATTCCTCTAACTCCATGAACCCTAGCATCAGTCTTAATGATCAACAACAGTGTCGAAACAAAACCAAAGATCAAAATATATTCCATCTTAATTGTTTTCTTGACAACTTTTATTGATCTTTCACATTTCTTGACCGACGAGATTATATACCATTTTTACATAATCGTACTTATTGGCATATCATCACCACCTAGAGATACTAGGGTTATGGGTGTGTTCACGCGGACACTCATCTACACCTATACATACACATAAACGTGTTATCTAGTATTAAAGAGTATTGATGGGAGGCTGATTTGTTAAATTCGTTTTTAATGCATTGACAATGACTATTTTCGTTTTAACCTCTAATAGTTTGTTATCTTGACTATAGTTTTATTTTTCTTTCTTTAGAAGATGCAAAAGATGGAAAAATGGGTAAAAAAACCCTCACCTTTCTTAGGTTTTGGATAAAAATATAGTTAAATAATGATTAATTAAATATAATTTATATTATATTTTAATATATCGTAATATATATATAGAAATATTAATTGTTAGTAAATCTTATTTAGTTTATCCAATGAAAATATTTTGATGTGGAAATTCATGTACTTTTCGTAGTATTATAAAATTTGGTTTGGTTTTACGTTAGTAAATTTGTGTGATCGAACCTAATAAACCTTTATTAATAAAAACTCATATTCGGTTTCGATATAAGAATTTACATATAATTCGTAATAAAATCTGTTTGGTTTCACGTTGATGAATTTTTGTAACACGCCGAATAAAACTTTACTAGTTAACTTTTTTACATCATGACTTACATATTTTCAATTTAGAAAAATATTGTAAACTAGAATTTTAGAAAAAACACCCTAAATCAAATTGTTTCTATTTATTTACGTTTTAGTATAACTATTTTTTTGAATTTATATTAAGTTTATTAATACTAGGGTTTATTTTACCATTTATAAAAAGGTGGGGGTTTAAAAACCCACAAAAAAAGTTGAGGGTTTTTTCTATGTTTTTAAGAAAGGTGAGGGTTTTTCTACCCATTTTTCCGCAAAAGATGGTAATCTTTTAAGAACTTTATGACTTTGATAATTGAAATGAATAATTTTTACCGAAATTCAAATAAATCATCGAGTCTTGTGTATCCTTCAAGTCACTGTCCTTAAGGAAGAAAATTACACAATGTTACCAAAACATCAGCCTCAAACCTTAAGGACAGTGACTTGAAGGATACACAAATAGAATGCTAAAATCTCAATTTAATACAGTTTATAGATTCCACAAATTAACTCTTTATACTTGAGAGCATTCAAAATAATGTTCAATGTTCATAAAGAAATTTAGTACACTAATCTTGAAGCAAAACAAAAACAGTTTTTATGACAAGAAAAAGTACAACAAGTTAGATCACTGGAGAGTTTACACATTCTATATAACCTTCTCTTCTATAACCAGTAGTAATCAATCCCAAATTTCCCGTCTTAAGCATCGAAAAATTAGAGACTAAGCTGGTAGCTGCAGCTTTTTATTGTTTTTCCAACTGTGATGATAAACCAAAACCATATAGTCAAGAGTTCTGTGTATCTTTAATGAACAAAGAGGCCAAAGATGGAAGTATTTGTTACCTTTGGAAGTAATAGTAGAAGAAATCGGCGTAGAGCAATGTTTGAACAAGCCCAGCGATCCATGCTACAATACAACAGTTTAATTGTGTCAAATAATCCACAAACACAACAGAAACTAAAAAACTGTGATTCTTGAGCATCTGATGTTATAGGTTCACTAATCTAAGTAGGCACAAACATATCAACAGATGCAATGATATGCCTGACAGAGACTTGACAAAGAACATTGAGAGAGGTAAAACAGTCATACTTATCCAGTGAACAAAGTGTGGTTCAGTGAAGTAACGATAAATCCAGTTGAGTATGTAGAATCCTCGGTATCCCCTGTAACAAGACGCCATAATTTGTATCTCAAATTTGAAACTTATAAGGCAGCTAAGACAGTAAAGACGTCAATAGAGATATGTATACCCGAGGAGAAATATGTATTGTCCAGTCAAGTTGTCGATATTTCTAGTTCTCTGCAGCAAAACAAGCTGAGGAAGTATAGCAACAGCCTCCAAGTACAATGAAAAAGTCCACAGGACCTAATAACATATACAAGATGTGATTCACACCGAAGAAACATCAAAATGCGATAAATTGTTCTGGCGAGCAAGAAACAAACCTCGAGAAAGGTAAACTTTTCATGAATCAAAAGAGCTAAGAGAATGCAAGGAAGCACAAGGAACCAATGACGAAACGTATCTTGTTCTCTATCATAAGTCCTATGAACAGTCTTATGATACCTAATGTACCAAACTATTGAAAAAGAACTTCCTAAGAATATCAACTTCATTAGAGTGTTATAGATAGAATAAAAACTCGTAAGTATATCTAAATATCGCGTCGCGAAGACAATGGCGTAGAGTTCTTGAGTCTTTAACGATACACCTGAAAATGTCAAAGCAAAAGAAGATTCACACAAATTCACAAGACTAAAGAATTCAAGACAAATTCAAGAACAGAATCGAATCAGAATCATATTCGATTTATCAATTTTGAAATGGAACATACCGGCGCAAGATTTGATGGTGTGGATCTTGAGAAGTAAGACAAGAACACTAGCGAGGTGAGTCATATCACCGGCTAATCTGAAAATATTCATATTGATCTTGACCGGAAATGGAGAAATTTGATCTATTAGGGTTTATGAAGCTCTCTCTCTCTCTCTGCTTTGTTCGTAGTTGTCTTCTCCGGCGACGACACGAGACGTCTGTGCTAGATCTCGTTTCCGTTTCTGTTTCTTTTCCTGGAAAAAGAAAAACTGATGAGAAATTTAAAGGCCCAGCCCAGATTTTTTTGTTGTGGGCCAAGTTCGATAAACCGAAAGCTGATTGTTTGGTTACGGGACATGTCGGTTATCTTAACCAAAACCAGATTTTACCAAGTTCATGATTTCTTATTTTTTTTTTTTTTTGGTTGCAAACTACTTTGTTTTCCATTCAATCGAACCCAAACGGGCATAAAGTTATACAAACTCTCTAACCACATGGTTGGGAACAATAGCATAAAGGAAACATAAACTTACAACAAAGGAAACATGTAGAAACTAGTCATAGAATTATGAAAATAATTAAGTAACTAACCATGAACTACAGTGATTTATCAGAAAGGTAGATGAAATGATCCCAACACTTTTGTTTTTTTTTCTTTCTCCGACAAATTCTATGTTGCCGCCAATATTTCTCTCTCTCGATAAATTTGGGATGCCAATCGTTCTTCATATTGATGGGTTCTCTCCCTCAATTTGTAGAAGATCTTTCTTTTTATTTCGTCAGATTTTAATCTTTTTTTGGAATCTCCGTCATCATGTTTTTTTTAATTGTCCATCATTTTCTTTTGTAACACGCTAACTGATCGAATTACACGTGATAACGGAAGATCTCTCCCTTCAACATGTTACTTTTCTGTATTACACGTTATTTATTAAGATCACATGTGATTTCTTCCAAAAAACATGATTTTAATATTAAAAACACATTGTTTTCTAAATGACACGCCTTTTCTTTTAGTATAACATGATATTTTTATTCAACGACATGTTTTTTCACAAATAACAATACGATGTTGCATTTGCATCTTTGTCTTATGTTTAAGGGCAGTGTTGATATTTTCCCCTTTCTCAAAAACGTTAGTTTTCTAACTCATAACTATTTTCTTAATTCTTTTTGAGTCAAATGTTACTTACAAATATTACCCCAAGAAAGAAAGGTTTGATAAGCCATAAAGGTAGATGATAGGGCCATAGAGACACATCCGCGAAAAAAATTTGGGAGTTTAGATATAGTCACAATCAAAAGATTTCTTGGCTTTAAAAATGCATCATTTGCCTTGTAAATCGTCAGCACGAAACATGTTGAAGCATCATGGAAACTTGGGCGGTTTCTCTCCATAAGAGGATAGCTCAAGAAGCAAAAGTTGGTAGCAATGGTTCCACCCCAAACGAATCGAGGCTGGGGTAATTGATCCAATATCTTTAGTGGTACAGTGTTCTTCGACCATAAGCCATGACGGTTTTACGCATAGGGTTTGGGACAATTGAACACAATAACATGCTAGAACTATCAAATCAATGCTAGATCGATGTCCTAAGTTAATCAGCTCGAAGAACCAATAACTCCAAGCAAGTGTTTGCAAGAAGAGATTATAGTAAACGACCAGGTTCATGATCTAAGGATATTAAATTGTTTTTTTTTTTAATCAAAAATATGGTTTTGTCATCTCTAAAAAACTAAATTAAGGCTTTTAATTGAATCATATAATAGGAGCTTTTCGGAATTCCCTAGTAATTTGCACGGATTGAGTATCAAATGGCAAGTGTTTCTCTTCTAATTTTCCTTTGTTATTATTGTATACTTTCTCAGGTTTGGACTAACATTCCTCTTTGTTTTTGTAGATGGTTGAGTCTGGTTTGGATGAACCACCTCCCTTCACAGACCTTGTGAGGAGGACTCACACGCGTAAAGATGGTACTTTCATGGACGCTCGTTCGGAGTCTCTTGTACTCGAAGTAGAAGAAGCGGCGAAACAGGTTATGGAAGAGGATGATTCTCTCGATGACCAGACGGCCTCATCTGGTGGTCTTCCTTCTCGACTTGTGCTGAACAAAGAATATCTCAAGGTACTCACCAAAATATATTATAACTGCCTCATGTGATATTGGTTAAATGACTTATGTTTTTGTTCAGTTTGGTTTATTCTCATTTGTTTGATTCTGAGTTGGTTCAGTTTTGTTTAGGTTCATTTGTTTGATTTTGAATTGGTTCTCTTTATTTTATCCATCTGAAATTCTCATTTGTTTGACTGGTTCAGTTTTGTTTATCCATCTGAAATTGTGTTTAGTTTTGAATGATGCTTGATTCTTATTTGTTTCTTTCTTTCACAGCGTGGTAAGTCTAAAAGAGGGTATATCTACGGATTAGGCAGTGTACAATACCGGGAAATCAATCCATCCGAGAAAGTGGCTGTTGCTATGTCTCGCAACCTTGACAATGAGATGCGCATCTATGGTTTGGAAAAAAACAATGAAGCACTCAAGGAAACCAATGAGGCGCTCAAGGAAAACATGGTGGAGCTGAAGTCTGGCATGGGCACGGTAATGGACGAGCTGGCTACAACCCGACTTGCGCTGAATGCGATTATGCAGTCTCTGGGAATTCAACTTGCTCCAAGTGACGTTATAGCTCGTGCTGCTGCTGCTGGTCTCCGTTTTGCTGGTTCCACTGCTGGTCGTGATGGTCCTCCTGCTGCTGGTCGTGACGGTCCTCCTGCTGCTGCGTCTCCTGCTGCTGCGTCTGCTGCTATGTCTCCTGCTGTTACTCCGACAGACCCTCCTACAAGAACACAACAAGGCAACTTAGATGCTTGGTGTGCTTCAGCAGGTTTATAAGTTTCTGTTTTTTATGTTTCTCTTGTATGAATGGGGTCTTTTGTATGACTAAAATTAGCACCCTTTTTGCCTTTTGGTATTGTAACTTACAAGATTACTATAATTATGTAATCTAATCTTCTTATTAGGATTTAATGTTATTTGGATTTTAAGCTTTTCATTTCAGGTTTATTTATAGCATTGTTTTTTTTTGAAGAAAATTATACATGATTAGCCACGAATACTACAACTAAAATTCATTGGCACGATTATGCAATTTATACAAATCGTGGCTTAAACCAACGATCATGCCACTTATTGAGGGCTTGATTGGTTCTCCCGCTAGCACCCTCCTAGCGGTTGCTAGCGGTCGGTTGCGGTTGTTAGCGGTTGGTACCAATCATAGAAACCGCTCCGTCCCGCTTCGAACCGCTCGAAATCGCTGAATTTCAAAAGCTCCTTCCCGCAAGCGTTTGCGGTTGCGGGCGGTAGCGGTTGGATTAAAAAAAAAAAAAAAAATCAAACATTTACTTATAATTATTATAATATATATTAATCCTATATATCTTTCATCTTTGTATCACTTTGTATCACGTTCTCATCAGAAACCCTAATAATATTCTGAAACTCTATTCTCTCAATATCTTCCACCCAAACTGATGAAAATCAATAACCAAATGTAAGTATCATATATCTTTTTATTCATTCATCACCTCATGTGTAACTTTTTGAATATTTTTCATGGCATCGTTTTTTTTATTTTCATTACGTATTGCTTTGCTTTTTGATTGAATATATGTTTCGATTTGTTTTCTCGAATAGAAACTCACTTGCTTTTTGATTGAATTCAACGTTATTTACAGTTTGTCCCATTACTTAATGCAATTTTTTATGTTAAACCAGATGCATAAAGTACTATCTTGTTACAAAATTTTTTTATTTTTGAATAATTATTTAGTACTTTATTTATGGTTTTAATTATTAAGCATGTTCAAATTTTTCTAATATTATCATAATAATATATTGGTGTTTTTATTTCTTTTTTTTTGTAATATTTTTTATTTATTTTGGTCATTTTTTTATTTAACTGCTATCGCACCCGCTGGTTTACCAGTCATAAAACTCCCGCAAACGGACCCATTTTCAAACGCTAAACCAGTCGTTCAAAACGCTTGATAACGCTTAAAGCCGCAACCGCCCGCTTCCGCAAACTCCCACAACCGCAACCGTAACCGCTGCGTTTAAACCAGTCAGGCCCTGAATCGTGGCTTACTTAATTTTGTCACGAACTTTGCTACGCATATTCCGTGGCTAAATTTGTCACGAAATCATAGTGACATAATCGTAGCTATAGTTTGCCACGGAAAATTGAGTAATTAATTCGTGGCTAATTTGTCACGAAATCATAGTGACATAATCGTAGCTATAGTTTGCCACGGAAAAGTGAGTAATTAATTCGTGGCTACTTATAGCCACGAAATATGAGTGACTAATTCGTGGCTATGCAGCCATGAAATGCCACGAAAAAAAAAAGCTACGAAGCTATAGCCACGATTATTTTTAGTCACTAGTCGTGGCTATATCGACTTACAGCCACGAATTTTCAGCTGCAGCCATGAATATTGAAGTGGCTATACGTATTTTTTTACTAGTATATAAATAGCAGTCCACAATCTAAAAAAAGTGAAAATCTTTCTTGAAAATAAAATTCAAAAATAGGAAAAATAATGATACAATTTTCCATAGAAACAGGTAATAGCTCTAACATATACATGTTAGTTATATGAAAGTTTTTTTTTTTTAAGAAAAAAAAGATCCTCTCCAACTCGAATTTCAGAGATATATATATATATATTTGAAGAAGAAGATGACTTCACATGATCAACCTAGGCGTCTCTTTGGTATGCAAAATTAACCAACTCATTTATTTTGATTTTGGTCTCTTGTTTATTTTATGAATTATGATACTCTTTGTCACTAGATAATCAAAATCCTATGAGTAAATACACACTGAGAAAAATGAATTGATTTGTTTAGTGACAAGTTTACAAGGTATACTTTCATAACCTCTCTACTTAAATCAGTCGCCTCAAGTTCTAGCAAATCATTGAAACATAGTTGACTCGTATAAGGTTTCTTCCAAATTTTCTTTAGATGTTTTCTAGACTTCCAGTATACAAAACACAACTAAACCCCGAGGAGATCATGCGGTAGAAGACGATAATGAACTCTATGACAGACAGATGAGGTAGACACCTTTGATCAAAAAGTATTTCATTTTTTCTCTCATATTCATCAAAAGTCTTACATGGAATTATTATGAGGCAGAGCTTGATGGACTAAATTCAGAGTACATGAGTGTTGTGCGGATTATGGAGATAGCCAAGAATCCAAACAGGGACTGATAAAAGTTAGGGATTGGTGATACATTTCAAAAGGCTAGAAGAGACATGTACATAGATCGATGAGCGATACGAAGCTGATGGACATATCTGCTATGTTTTGGAATGAGATCACATCTCCTTTCAACATAGAGCTTGTCCAGGAGGCAGTGAATATTCCTCCCCGTAAGGTTGAGTTGATGAAGTGGTGAAGTGGGCTCTTATTTATTTTGGGACTTATGTATTTTTTTTTTTGTAGACATGACATTGGTAAAGAAACAAACACTATACTAATACTATTGATTATTCAGGTACAATAAACCACACTCAAATCGGTTTACAAAAAAAAAAAAAAAAAAAAAAACCACACTCAAATCCTCTAAGATAACAAAATCAGATTATTCAAGTACAATAAAATTTTATTATACTTACCAAAAAATTTCTTTATTATTATTTAACTACGTGGGCTATATATATTACGTGGCCCAATAATTTTTTGATAAACATTACGTGGTCCAATATACAACCTAAGGGCACTTCCATCAGTGGTGTCCATGAGACACCCATATTAAAAATAAATCAAAAATAAAGAAAAAAAAATTATTTTAATCAAAAAAACTGAGACACGTTTCTCAGATGAGAAACTTTGAGACACCCTCTCTCTCATATATGTCACTTTTAGATTGGTCTGACAATTTTTTTTTAAATTTCAGTTAATCTAAGATTTATAATATCAATTAAATCGTTTATAGGTTATTATTTTTTATTTTTTATTTTTCTGTAATTCATAAAATAAAATTATCTATATATCAAGTTCCATTATACAAAAGTTTAAAACTATATTTTAATATTATTTTTAATTGATATTAGTTAAGGTTAATATAAATATAAATTAATATTTTTAGTTAATAAAATACTATAATATTAGAAGTTCAATTTATGTTTAATTGTGGTTTTAAAAATAATAGTCTCTTTAATATATTATTTATAATTAATAGTACAATTAATTAATGTTTTTAAAATTATTAATATTTATTATAGGGAGATTTACACAAATAGACCCAAAAAGTTGTTTTTTCCAAAAATAGCACCTCATTTGAAAATTTCCACAAATAGCACCATAAACTTCAATTTAACTTAATGAAAATATAAGATAGAAAATAGAAAAGAGAGCAAACACTAATCTAATATTAAATTGAATCAAAATTATTTTTAAATAGTGGAAATATATACCCTAATTTGGAAATAGGGAACCCAAATATAATACCACAAACTAATATTAAAATAAAAATCTCTTTTAAATGGTGGAAATATATACCCTAAATTGGAAATAAGGAACCCAAATATAATACCATAAACTAATATTAAAATGAATCAAATTTTCTTTTAAATGGTGGAAATATATACCCTAAATTGGAAATAGAGAACCCAAATATAATATTTTAAATTTATTTCTAATTTATTTTGTTGAATAACTTTTATATAAAAATTGTGGTATTATTGGAAAAAAATTAGTGATAAAATTTTTAGATCAAAAACACTAGAGAAATTCCTAAAAATGGCCCTAAAACAAGTTTTATTGACAATAATAGCACACACTCCATAAACTTCCAAAAATAGCACTAGTTAACTTACTATTAGTGTATTTGTTCTAAACATTTTTTCACTAGCTTTTTTTTTTCAATAATACCACAACTTTTATATAAAAGCTATTCAACAAAATAAATTAGAAATAAATTTAAAATATTATATTTGGGTTCTCTATTTCCAATTTAGGGTATATATTCCCACCATTTAAAAGAGATTTTGATTCATTTTAATATTAGTTTATGGTATTATATTTGGGTTCCCTATTTCCAATTTAGGGTATATATTTTCACCATTTAAAAGAGATTTTTATTTTAATATTAGTTTGTGGTATTATATTTGGGTTCCCTATTTCCAAATTAGGGTATATATTTCCACTATTTAAAAACAATTTTGATTCAATTTAATATTAGATTAGTGTTTGCTCTCTTTTTTTATTTTCTATCTTATATTTTCATTAAGTTTAATTAAAGTTTATGGTGCTATTTGTGAAACTTTTCAAATGAAGTGCTATTTTTGGAAAAAAACAACTTTTTTAGGGCTATTTGTGTCAATCTCCCCAAAACACTAATAATAAGTTAACTAGTGCTATTTTTGGAAGTTTATGGAGTGTGTGCTATTATTGTCAATAAAACTTGTTTTAGGGCTATTTTTAGGAATTTCTCTTTATTATATTATTTACTTTTATAAATAAATATAATTATTTAGTTTGAATGACTATATTTAAAATATAATTTAATCTGTTTCAAAATATTATTGAAAAATTAAATTTAATATAAAAATATAAATATTATATTGATGAAACAATAACCTTCAGCTTTACTAATTCTAACTAAACAGATAAATGAAGATTGAGCTTGTTTTCATACCGTTACCAGGTATCGGTCATCGCAAGCCAACCATCGAGCTAGCGAAGCGACTTGTACGCAGCGATGACCGCCTTTCCATCACCGTGATCATCGTCCCTTCCATAAACAACGTCGCCGATGATTCCATCTATATAGCATCACTCTCAACGACATCTCAAGATCACCTCCGCTATGAAACCATCTCCATCAAAGATCAACCAACAACCGCTGATCCAAACCAGCCGACTCAAGTCTACATCGAGAATCAAAAGCCAAAGGTAAGAGATATAGTCTTGAGAATAGTCAATGATCCAACACGACGGCTCGCTGGATTCGTGGTGGATATGTTCTGTTTCTCAATGATTGATGTAGCTAACGAATTCGATATTCCGATTTATATGTTCTACGCATCGAACGCTACGTTTTTGGGAATTACACTTCACATTCAGCTAATGCATGACGAGAAAAAGTATGACGTTAGCGAGTTAGAAGACTCGGTCAGTGAGTTAGAGTTTCCGTGTTTGACTCGTCCTTATCCTGTGAAGTTACTGCCTTATCTCTTCACTTCAAAACAGTGGCTACCTTTGTTTTTAGCTCAAGCTAGAAAATTCCGAAAGATAAAGGGTATTTTGGTAAATACAGTTGCTGAACTTGAGCCACACGCTTTGAAAATGTTCAACAATGGTGGTGGTGATCTTCCTCAAGTTTATCCAATAGGACCAGTTTTGCATCTCGAAAACGGTTTTGTTGACGAGAAGCAATCGGAGATTTTACGGTGGCTTGATGAGCAACCGGCTAAATCTGTTTTGTTCCTCTGTTTTGGGAGCATGGGAGGGTTTAATGAGGAACAAACAAAAGAAATCGCCGTCGCGCTAGAACGAAGCGGTTACCGGTTTCTTTGGTCCCTCCGTCGCGCATCGCCGAATATAATGACGGAACCTCCCGGAGATTTCACAAACTTAGTGGAAGTTCTCCCGGAGGGTTTTCTAGATCGGACATCGGATATAGGCAAGGTAATCGGATGGGCACCGCAAGTCGCGGTGCTAGCGAAACCGGCGGTAGGAGGATTTGTCACTCATTGCGGGTGGAACTCGATGTTAGAGAGCTTGTGGTTTGGTGTTCCGATGGTGGCGTGGCCGCTTTACTCCGAGCAGAAGGTAAACGCTTTCGAGATGGTGGAGGAGCTGGGATTGGCGGTGGAGATTCGGAAGTATCTTAAAGGAGAGTTGTTGGCCGGAGAGATGGAAATGGTTACGGCGGAGGAGATAGAGAGAGCGATGAGGCGTGTGATGGAGGAGGATAGTGATGTTAGAGATAGAGTGAAGGAGATGGCAAAGAAGTTCCACGTGGCGTTAATGGAAGGTGGATCTTCACATGTGGCTTTGCAAAAGTTTATGCAAGACGTTAAAGAATGCATTGCATGTTGATTATGTATCAGATACAATTACTTGTAGTTCCAAAGTGTTATGTTGTTACATGGGAAAAATGAACTATCATCATGGTGAGGATCTATACACTAAGTATTTGATAGTGCCGAAAATGATACAGGCGATACATTAGCAATCTGAAAATTATATGAACCAATCTATTGTGCTGACTCCACATTAATATGAACGTCGAGAGTTAATATGTTAGTGTGTGATGATTTAAAAGGTGCAAAATACTAAACTTATTAGCTATCATTTCTGTCCTAGTATATTTCTGACCATGCGCGGAAGATTCTACTACAACTAGAAGGTTTCCGTGATTCTGAATTCTTCTAGCTTCAAATCTTGGCACAAGAGATACAAAGGGTTGTTTTTCTTTTAGGAAGATATAGACCACGACCATAAGATTTCCCAACCAGCCAAGAAAGCGACCAAATGTATTCGTATAACTCTCTCCTTTGATTTCGAGCTTTTAATTCAACTATGTGATCCTCTTATGTATATTTTCTCTTATGCTATTTTTGAGTTTTGACGATTCCGATTAATGAGTTTTTTTTTCTTCTAGTTTCTATATTAGGTTTTGAGTTATGGGAGCTTATTCGGCAAAGTATAGCATCAATCATGATTATTCATGGCAATTTCGGTAATGTGGCCATGGTGGTTCTGAAGTTATATTAGAAAATGTAATTCGTTCATCATTATACAAGGTGTTTAGTTTCTCTTATCATGGTAGTCAATTTAGAACTAGTGGCTTCAAAAGATGCCGATTGTAAAATGTCGTCGTGATGTCGGTTAATAGAGAAACCATTATGTCTTTCTTTCTAGGACGATCTCGAGTGTGAATCTGGCAGTTTAGTCTCATTTTAAGCTTTTGGCCTTCGATTAAGCATTGTTGTGAAGGTTCATTGTTTGAGATTCACTTCACAAACAAACAAGTAAAGAAAACAATAGACACACCTAAATAATACAATAATGCAAAAGAAGCTAAGCTAGAAAATATCAAGAACTTGTAAAATGGCAGTGTTACATAGAGGACAGTTTCCTCTTTGTACCCAAAGCTCTCTTGAACACAATCGGCAAAATGTATGTCCACAAGGTATAAAAGCCGCACCTTTACTCCTTATCATACACACACAACAACCCAACTCCGCCGCCCCCGTCACTGCCACCACCTCTCCTCCACCGTCGCAGCAATCTCTTCCCTCCACTTCCACCTCTTCTCGCGCGCTGAGTTCATACATTTGTCCATCATTATCCTCCAACAACTCCATAAGAGACATCCTTGGCGGCTGCATTTCCTAATTGGATGAAAATTTATAACATAAAATTGTTCTCATTAATTGTGAATTAGAAACAGAGGATATGAAGTTTAACCGTCTAACTAACAAACTAACTAACTAACTAACTAACTAACTGATTAACAAACTGATACACATTAATACCTCTCTATCCGCCGCCAACACCGTGTCTAGCCGGAGCCTTCCTTCTCGCTCCGCCGCTTCCTCTCCGCCATCCCTAACATCACCATTACTCCGGTTTGTCTCCGAATTAGAGAGGAGGAATCCAAGGCGGTTAAATCGGTGGCTGTCATTAACCGGAGTAAGGATATGATTATCCAAATTAGGGATAGGATTAGCCGAGATCCATCCAGTAGCGGCGCGTTTAAGGCGGAGCTTATCCCGGAGAGATTTCCAAGCTGTTTTATCACGGCGACGCTCTCTTCTCATCACGTCAAGTAAACTACTATTCGAGTGATTCCTCGCCGGAGAAGGCGGCACAGTAAGAGATCGGAAACCGCTCGTTTCAGCCATCAGAATATCTTCTAAAGTCACCGAGCTCCTGCCATTCTCCACCGTTGACATTCGATCAAACAAAGTCACTCTCAGCCTATCTCCACCGTCCATTTGAATCATCTTGTCAAAGATTTTCTTGAGAAAATGAAAAACCAATTTCGTCGGCAAAGAGAGTGAAGTTTTTTTTTTAATCTTCAGTGAGAAAATAGTAAGTGAGAGTAAGACAGATCCACTTGATTAATATATAAAGAATCATCGGATACCTTACCTTTCTCCGACAACTTCCTTCTCTTTGCACTAGAATCCGTAAATCTATAGCAGTAGCAGATCTGTAATCAAATAAATATTTTAATGAATCTCAGAAACTTTACTTTATACGAATCTGACAAAATTAAAGAACAAAATTTGCAGTTTTTTTTATATAAAACAATCATGCAGACACAGTGATTGATGAAGAATTTTGTGGGTCAAAAAAGAATAAAAACAAAAAAGTAAAAGATGATCACTTTCTTTTAGATATTGTTGTTGATTGAAATCATCTGCTTGGTTTTGCTCTTTTAGTTTAGTGACTTTGAGAATCTCTTTTGAAGGAGTTTTAAAACGTAGCAAAGGAGATAACCTAGTGTGGATTTACGTATTTGGCCTTCTATTTTGTTGTTTTGTTTTATCTATCAAAGCTAGGAGATAGGGGTATATTCGGAAATTTTCCACAGTTTTGTCGTCTTTATATGTCTGTGGACGAGTTTTTCTCTTACAAGGGTGTATTTCAAATGTACTTTGAGTTTGTTTAGTTCTGGTAATTTTATGTACTTTGGTCTATATTAGTATATAAAAATTTTAAGCATATGAATGTTCATAGTTAATTAGGTACATAGTGGTTAGAGATGTTAAAAAAGCAAAATCAGGGTTTAGGTCGCTGATCATACCTGAATATGAAATGGTTGGAGAGCAGTTTTAAGCTAATTCACTCATCAATTTTTTTTTTAAAAAACTGGATCTTGATGTGTTCTAATTTTGAATTGTACAATAATTCAGTTGAGGAATTTAAATTTTATATTCAAAAGTGTTTGATGACCTAACACATTAATGACCATAACATAACAGATACTGGTCCACAAAACTTTTTTTGTATTGTCTTCATAATGATAATGTGATGTAAGAGAACAGGTCAAGTTTGTTATGATTTTTTTCCAAACAGATTTGGTTCTGTTGAAGAACTGAAGAAGATTACACTAAATTTGGAACAACAACACATCACTAAACAGCACCATAGAAAATTGAAATCCAAAATCAAGGCCGATCCAAAGGATTTAAAAGCCGAGAACTCGGAAACAAAAGAACTAAAGATTAACACATTCCATTGGAAATAAGACGTATAACAAAAAAAGTTCATAAGCCAAACATCATATGCAAAGATAAGAATCACACTTGAAGACTTAACACAACTCTTGAAACCCTCCCACCACGATATAGAATCCATTCTCGGATGATCAACCAATTTATAACATATACCAACAATATCCCAAAAAGCCTTACTGCGTGATCGTCTTATTTCTTGATTTTACCTCCAACGCGTAGGGCATGGTCATGGTTCCCTCCTCCCATTGATTGTCCTGCCTTTCTAGCCGCCTTTTCTTGCAATGCTCTCGCGTCTCTACACCACGAACATAAGAAAGACCAACAATCATCCAATCTATCTATCTATCAAAATTACAAATTCCACATCCTTAATCAATAATAAGAAACAAAATCTAGTTAGCCGCCTTCTCCTGCAATGCTCTCGTGTCTCTACACCACAAAAAACAATAATCCAATCTATCTATCAACATTACCAAATTCACATCCTGAATCAACAATACAAAAGAAAATCTAATTAGCTCATCTCAAAGTATTAGAAGTAAACCTAAATTATCAACAACTTTAAAGAGATTCCATGGATTTTATGTCACAACTCACAAGGCTTAAGTTGTGGTTTATGCATTCACTTTACCAACACAAACATCGAAAATGAATCTAAACTCACCTCTAACACTCACTCTCACGAGTCGAACTTAAACATCTCGACTAAACAATGGTAGCAATCCACTAGATCTAACAACAGTAAGCCAGTAACAAACTCTAATACTCATCTTGTCTTATATACAACATTAAACCAATTTCAAACCAAGACAACATATCTCAAACTTGATTCAACTTCACAAATGAGCTTAAACCAGTCCCGGTTCAGCTCAAGATCATAAATTGTTTGTCACAAGCTTATTACATTCACTTCCACAACGTAATCAATGTGCTCTCCTTCTAAGCTTATCGAAATTGACAAAAACCAGTGATTATAATTACCTTTCGCGACGTTGCTCAGGTGTTAATCCATCGTGCTTAGGTTGCTTAGGCTTATGATTACCTCTTGCTTGAGCTCTTTCACGATCACGTTCTCTTTGGTTTCCACGTTTGCTTCAATTAAAGCCAAACAAATATCACAGAAAATAAAAACCTAAAAATTCTCCTATGTAATAAAACTATATACTAAAAAAAAAAGTAACGTATCTAATAATAAATGATCAGATCAAGAAAAGGATATGTGCCATTGTCGATGAACAGACACAGATACAGATCAGACAAGAACAAAGATCCCTGGAAACATAAGCCACCAAATTAAAGAAGGAAACAATTAATTGAAACATGCAAAGTATAGATCAATAATCATTAATAACGATTAACAATTCTATAAACTGAAATAAAAATTAGAGATTAAAGAAGAATTTTTTTTTACCTGCAGAGAAGAAGAGAGTAGACAAAGGTTTAGGATTTGGAATTGGTGAGATTGTGAGGAGATGATACGAAGGAAAATGGAAGAGGTGGTGATCAGATTTATAGATAGAGAGAGGACAGTGGCAATTTCTGAAGCAAAGGTTATTGGAATGAATTTTGGAAGAATTTTGGAAGAGTCGAGAAGCTGCATAGATTCCATTTCCTTTAAAAAAAAAATAATAATAAAACTTTTTCCACATGTGTTGTTTAATTTTATTTTCTTAAATCGTTCTCATTTGGTCAACCATTTGAAATAAACTAATAAAAAAAAAAATTGTAGCTGATTATAAGTTTTTATGAGCTTATTTGCTAAATTATAACTTTATAAGGGAAGCTGATTATAAATTTATAAGAGCTTATTTGCTAAATTATAATTTTATAAGGGAAGTAATTGTTGAAGAAAAATATTTTTCTGTATATGTTTTAATATGATGTTTTAGTCAAATCTATACTAGTATTTTTGCAACACTTTGGTGACGGGTGGGTAAAAATGCTTCCGGATATATCGGATACCCGACCCGTCTTAAAAATTCCTTCACAAAAAAACACTTGGATCGGGTTAAATAAAACCCATATATTGCACCGGATATTCCATATTTAATAATTTAGATATTTAGAAGATTTGATTAAGATTTAGAATTATGATTCTCCTATCATCTTTGTTTGATTTGTTTTTAACTGTTTTGAATCATCATATAATACATAAAGTAATAAAAAAATCAATTTTTTTTCTGCATATACTGTGATTCGAAATTTAAAAAACGAACATATATTATCCAATTGACGAAAATGTGTGTTCAACGTTCTACATCGATTAAAATATTTAAACAATGATTCAGAATCATATCATAAATAAAATCAACATTAATAAAATAAATGAGTTTTTTGGCCGGATGGGTTTGGCGGGACGGGTTTTTGAATCAACAATAATAAAAAAAATTAAATATCATTAATCCGTCGCTTCAATACGGATTAAATCCTTAATTTTTTTTAATACCACCAATATTAGACATATCAAATTAGTCTCATTTAGAAAATATTGTATAAAATCAAAAATTGTCCTGTGGTATAACATTACTTAATAATAATTATAAACTATAAAACATAATATTTTATGGGAGATTGACACAAATAGCCCCAAAAAAGTTGTTTTTTCCAAAAATAGCACATCATTTGAAAAGTTCCACAAATAGCACCATAAACTTCAATTAAACTTAATGAAAATATAAGATAGAAAATAAAAAAGAGAGCAAACACTAATCTAATATTAAATTGAATCAAAATTGTTTTAAATAGTGGAAATATATACCCTAATTTGGAAATAGGGAACCCAAATATAATACCACAAACTAATATTAAAATAAAAATCTCTTTTGGTGAAAATATATACCCTAAATTGGAAATAGGGAACCCAAATATAATACCATAAACTAATATTAAAATAAATCAAAATATCTTTCAAATGGTAGAAATATATACCCTAAATTGAAAATAGAGAACCCAAATATAATATTTTAAATTTATTTTGTTGAATAGTTTTTATATAAAAGTTATGGTATTATTGAAAAAAAAAAGCTAGTGATAAAATTTTTAGAACAAAAACACTAATAGTAAGTTAACTAGTGCTATTTTTGGAAGTTTATGGAGTGCGTGCTATTATTGTCAATAAAACTTGTTTTAGGGCCATTTTTAGGAATTTCTCATATTTTATAAGGAGATACAATTTATAAAATTTTATATATATTAACTTTAAAAAATAAATCATCCCGCGGTGTACCGCGGGTTAAAATCTAGTTTTAAATAATATTTTTCATCTTATATAAAAATACTAATCTTACAAAAAAAATTGTTTACTAAATTATGTGTATTATGTTAAAACATCCAACTTCTAATAGAGGAGCTTTTTGAAATATTTTTGAATGTCTTGCTTTATTCAATAGAAGAGAAGTGTATTTATACACATATAAATTTCCTATTCTTGATAGAATCAAATCTAAGAGGATATATTGATCTATAGGAAAACTCTCTCGTGTTTGTTTAGCACGAAAACAAATGTCACAATTCTCAATCTTGCTACAATCTTGAGAAGGTTGTTGACATTCTGGTAATGAAAGCAAAACAGTAGTAGAAGGATGGCCTAGTCTACGATGCCACAAAGCTCCTGAAGACGCACGTTCCGCAGAAGTCTTGTGAGCACGAGCAGCCAAAACACCAGTAAAATAGTACACTCCCTCACGTTCTTCCCCCGCCCCAATCAAAGTCCTCGAAAAACGGTCCTGTAAGAAACACAAAGTGTCAGTAAAGATTGCAATAGATCCTGTTTGTTTAAGTAATTTGGAAACAGAGATCAAAGTGCAATCGAAATCCGGGACAAACAACACATCACGAAGTTTGTAGGTGGAGCTGAGAGGAAGTGTGCCACACTTAGTCGCACTAGAAGCTTTTCCATCCGGTTTTGTAACACGTGATGGAATAATGTCGAATATATCGATCAAAATAGAAGAGTCTCCTGTCATGTGATGTGAGGCACCAGTATCAATAATGGCATCAGTGAGACGAGTTTTACCCGACAACCGTTCTGAAGAAGTGTTTGGTCGTTGAGCTTGAAGAAGTGAGATGAGCTGCGAGATTTGATCGTAGGGAACAATGGAAGACGACGCAGCTTGAGCACTGTTAACTCTCCCACGACCGCGACCAGTCCCTCTGTTTGAACGTCCACCCCGTTGAACAGGTTTAGTATCCTTCATGTCTGTAGAACCACGACTGCCTTCTTTTTGCTCGTAGTACCAATCAGGAAAGCCATGAACCAGAAAACATTCTGTCACGTCATGCCCTTGACGATGACAGTGAGTACATGATCGATCCCGTGGTTTAAAAACAGAGGCTGCAGCGACTTGTGAGTTTGATGAAGTGGTGGATTGAACTGAAAAACCAATTGCGTCAGATTTGGCAGTCTCTTTGGATCGTGCTACGTCAAGATTTTGTTCCTCACGAATCACACGTGAGTAGACTTGATTAAGAGAAGGCAAAGGATCTTCATCGGTGATTTTAGATCGAATGTGAGAGAATCGAGGCAAATCAAGACCAAACAAGAATTGATGAATTTTATCATCCTCACGTTCTTTGGCAGTGTCTGGTGTAGCTTCACAACGACATACACGACCTGTTTTGTAGTTTTGAAGTTCTTCCCACAGTTTTGAGAGACGTCCATAGTATTCTAGAACCGATTGGCCGCCTTGTTTGCACAAAGCGATCTCATCTTTTAGAACTTGTTTTTGGACTCCATTACCAACCGAGAAACGAACCCGAAGACTCTCCCAAAGCAACGAAGCTTCGGCGATAAAAGAAACGGTTGACCTAATCTTCGGATCGATGGATGTGCGGATCCATCCAACGATCATAGAATTTGCGGCCAGCCACTGTGCGCGTTCAGGATCAGCTTCCAGTTTGAGTGTTGTCCCGTCGATGAAACTAAGCTTCAGCTTGGCTTGGAGGGAGTTACGGAATTCAGTTGCCCATTCAGGAATTGTCCTCCCTTAACACCACGGAGGAGATCAAAGATCCAGGATTATCCGATGAACTCAAAGAATATGGATTGGACGATGGTTTGACAGCGACGGCGAGTTGAGAAGAGTCTTCACCTCCCGACATCGAAGATAGAATAGGAGCAGAGCCGGACTTAAGGGCATTATTATGATGCATTGCAATGGGGCCCCCATTTTAGAAGGGCCCCACATAATTTGTTTTCTTGTATATATGTATATTAGTTATTGTTTATAGATCCTAAAATGTTATGTGTGTCTAAAAAATTTATAAGTTAATTGAATAAAAAAAAATAGTAAGTTATTTTTTCTTTACAAACCATTAGATTTCTTTCATCGAATAAGAGAAAACTTTTTTATTTTAAGAAATTCTAAAACAATTAAGAGTTTTGCTTAAACTAATTCTTTTTTACTCAGATTTTTTATTTTATAAAAAATTTGATATTATTTTTTATTTAATTCGTATGGGGCCCCCGATTTATTTGGTCCGGCTCAGGAGTATAGAAGATAGAAGATTAGAAGATTTGTTGTGTGTAGAAAATAGAAGAAGACAAGGGTTGCGAAGGTCACGAGATGCGACGGCAGCGAAGAAGAAAGAAGAAGAAGAGAAAAAATTTAGGTCAGGATCTTTTGCTCTGATACCATGAAATATTTTGGAATGTCTTGCTTTATTCAATAGAAGAGAAGTGTATTTATACACATACAAATTTCTTATTCTTGATAGAATCAAATCTAAGAGGATATATTGATCTATATCCTAATACTTTTCTCAATGGAATCATTGTCTGATTGTCTCATTCTTCTGTTGCGGTCAGCCATCCCTCTTGGTTGCATGAGTTTGAGTTATTCGACTCTAAGAAAGTTATATCCTCGTTTTAAGTTGTTGTGATGTTTCAGCTTAAGTTCAGACTAATGTCATTCTCATTTTTGGAATAGTTAGTGTAGAATGTAAATCACTAACTTCTAACTACTATAGTATGTGCTTTAGGCAAGATTTGTAACCTTCAATATCAATATATAATCAGATGACAAAAAAAATAAGAGAGGGAGTATGAAGAAATCTATAAATAAATGATGGATTTTGTTGGACTCCTCTAAATTGGCTAGACACTCTCTAGTTCATATACTATTAAGTGATAACTTTCCTTTGATTGAGAAAAACAAGTGTACTTTTATTGTTAAAATTACTAACCCGACCAAAATAAATGAAAAACAAGACAAGTCATACATCACATTGAAAACATAATGATACTTTACCCGATGAGTGATTGATTCAAACACATGTTTCAGTTGCCACTCATCAAAGAGTAGGATCAAGAACACACATGAACCTAAACAACTTGGGGACTTTAAGCACAGGACCGAACCACTCAACCTTCCCCGAAATCTCTTCATTACATATTTCAAGCGCAATCTCCGCACACCAAATAACCTTTCCCTTATCATTGCTAGAACGATCATGCTTATCCCATAAAACCGCCATCTTTCCAC